TTTTGAGCACGTGAAGTATGACCTATTATCGTCCTGAGGTATAATTACTTTTTGATACCGCGGTCGTTTAATTTTTTAGTCACTTTCTCACTCCTACTCAGTACTATTGAAAATAAGTCAATTTCTTTTTGTTTTCTTTTTCTTTTTCTTTTTTTTTTTTAAGTAAAGGAGGCATATCTTTGGAAAACACACCAGGGAAACAGGTGCTCACGGGTTTTACTGTATTCCAACTTAAGAATCTATATTTTTAAAAACAGTGTCTTCGATGATTTTGACGAGTATTAAGATTCAGCTTTTGCCTAAATTCTTCATTTCTAAAAAAGTATTCCAACATCATTTCACGGTCGTATATTGGATTAATCAATAGGGATTTGCGCATACAGCTCACTTCGGAAAAGAGTAATGGCATGGACCGTTGATCGGTGCTGGCACTAAGGGTTTTTTTAGGTAAAAAAAGGAAGGCGGAATGGAACGGTCAGTGATCGTTAATTGGGATGTTTAAAGTAGCAGTGATTTCATTCAAAGCGCAATTTTTTCCCCGTGCAATTTTGCGTAATAGTGATGGGTAGTTTGTCCGAGGAGTTTGCAAATTTCATTCATTTTTTTTTATCAGGCTGTCACGTTTTGTTCGCGTCTGGACAATTTCCGATTTTGTTATTCGTGTATGGCTGAAGTAACACTACTACTTCTGTGAACAACATGAAAGAAACAGTTTTTCCATGGTTGTTTGTCAACAGACCGCGAGAAATAAACAGCAAGTTCAGCTCACATCGCTAAATGGGAACCACACTTGCTAAATGGGAACGTGAGCTCAACCTGTTACTTAGTGTAGCGCATTTTTGGTCATGGAAAGACGAGAATGGAGCTGTATTATCAGTATTGTAAAATTGCACTGCAACTTTGAAAACTGCGTGGAAAAGAACGATCCAGTTTGAGTGTAATTATAAGTCGAGAGAAGATAAGGAACCAGAAAAACACTCTTAGAAAGTCCTTTTCCGATTGTTTCTTATGTCCATAGTCAATGATCTGTTTTATCTTCCCTTCACTTATAATTAACCCTGAAATAAACATCAAATTCTGCGTTCCCGCAATATTTCTAAAAAATCCCATAGACAGCTGTGCTTGCACCCTCGGCCCAGGCTATCTCTCGTTTTTAAAGCGAGCTTCTGAATCAGAAAACTATAACAAGATACGCTGTCTCTCCAAAGTGTTGTTGCGGGCTCGGAATCTCCGCCACAGCACCACTACCACTAGGACAGCAACGATCACTCCAGCAACCGCCACAACGGCTGGGACGATTCTTGTTCCATTGTCTGTGGAAAATACCGTTTTAGGTGATTTCATTGAAATTAATTATGTTATAACGAAGCAAATGAATAATATATACTGGATAAAGGAGCTAATTTACATAAAATTGATTACTCCCTTTAAATCAAAAGGGGAACATGGAATTGATAATTGAGCACTCCCAAAACCACCATCACCAAAAATTTTCATGGGTCCTCACTTTATGCGAAAAAAGTAAATATGAAGGTGTTTTAGAATTGCTTAAAATTTCGAAAATTGGATGCAATTTTAGAGCTCAAAGTGACAGAGTTGAAACTATTCACCGACAGGTGTATTACCGGATGGGAACTCTTAAAATTTACGACGAGACGTTACTTTTTTTTGGAATACACCATTCAAGGACTACGGACAAGAGATTCCTATGATAAAGAAACCTGTCAGATTTTCAACTACATTACGAATTTCGAAGCCTTCAAATTACCGTATTTACTCGAATACGCGCCACGGCGCTTATTTAATTTTTCGTGTCTCCGGTGCGGCGCTTATTCGAAGGCGGCGSTTATTTAAAGGGCTCATACCAAAAAAACAAAATATTTTGATTGTACAATTTAATTTACTTCATGAGTATTTTTCATGGCTTACAGGCTTGAAGTTAACCTAAATTTTGGCTTTCATAACAGCCTCGTGAACACTTTTCTGCAGGTTTTCAACAACGCTTCACTCGATGTCAATGTCCTGACTGTTGCTGAAATACTCGAATAAGCGCCGCACCGAAGCTGCGGCGCTTATTCGAGGGCGGCGCTTATTAACTTTTCGACCCCATGTGCGGCGCTTAATTGAGGGCGGCGCTTATTCGGGGGGACGCTTATTCGAGTAAATACGGTATACACATTGTTGTGTTCGTTGGACTTTTGAAAGCTCTTCTACCAGGGTTACGTCTGCTTTAACAAGTGTGGTCTTTAAATAACGCTAAAAGATTTTCATGCAGTTACATTTAGAAATGCAATTTTTACCGTCTTGTTCTTCTTGACTCGCTTCCAGCTGAACCTTCGTTTTCAAAGAGTCTGGAGAAAAACCTGACGTGGTTTCAGGCCATGGTGAACAACGGTCTCGACAAGCACAATAGTGTTTAATGGAAAATATCTGTTCGAAGAAAAGAGAACAGTGATAGCATTGATCGCTCATTAATATTATGCAGTTATTACATGTAGTCGTGAAGTTTGTTTCAAGATGTTGTGGATACGGTTCTCTACTGAGGTCCAAACAACCAATAATCCTTGTTATTTCGATATGAACTCATAGTCTAATACCCATAAAATGATAAATAACAGTTGAGATAACAGTTGCCACTAACATAATTATCTTCATCCTCGGTTTGAAACGTTGGGTCTGAGGCTGACTCGTCGCAGTGGAACTCGACTCTGGAATGTGGATTGTCAATGCTGGGATCACTGCAAAGTAAATGTTTACATATTTTAGACTAAATTACAAATGCTCACTCAAGTTGGCAAAGTGGCAAACAAAAATTTTAATTATTGTCACAATTTTCGATGCGATTTTGTCTCCGGCGACTGTTCGGACAAGAATTTAGGGTAATCAGATAACTCTTCTAGGGTAACACTGTACTGATGCGCTTTTAGGATATCCTCGTGCTGTCATTACATCATTGGGCATTGGCAACACAGGATGATTCTGGAACTAGGATCATCTTCAGGGAAGCCTAGCAGTGTATAAGGAATATTTACCAAACTTATGGTCAAGATGGCTGGATATTAGGCCAGGTCTTTTTGGCGTGTGTCTTTGAAAAGTTCCGAATGTCAATTGAACATATTCAGCATCAGTTCCATTTCGAGAGACTGACGTGGTGAGAGAGTGGAAAAAATAACAAATCAGAGGCAAAAAATGACCTTGACCCAAACCAAAAAAGAGAAACTCGGGCCACAATGCATGTAAACCTAACTAATTCAGGCTAGGGACCGAATCACAGTCTTTTTGTAGGGCTACTATCGCCGAAGGGCCCTAGCTTTAGGATTATTTACTATGAACGGCTAAGTTGTGTAATAGAAATAAAAATAACAACGAAATATTTTTACTTGGTTTTGTAGACCAGCTCTATCTGTCCCTCTTGGCTTATTTCACAGCTGATGTCTCTTTGCAGACCAACCTCAAAGTACTCACGTGGTTTTTCAATTTCGGCGTATTTGCAAATCTGAGATTTAGAGATCTATCACTGTGTTTTTAATTATACAATGGGAAGTACACGTACACCTAATAGAATGAAGAATTTAATGCACTTTTACCCAGAACCGCTAAAATTAAAAGGATTTCAATAACAAAAATCACTTGAACAAAAGCATCAATACATTGGCCAATTTGTTCTCAAGCAAAGCTAGCTATGTTGAGATATTAGCAAGAGCAAGAGGGTTAATCGCACATACAGACCTCATTCTCAAGGTAACCCCGCTCAAGGTTTCTTTTATATATGATATCCAGCTGTCCGTGGTTAATGTTCCCAGGCGCGTTGGGTAGATGTTTACTTGAGGGATAAAAATGCGTATCAGGCGGTTTGGGCTGTCCGAGATTTCTGAAGTCTGAAGTGACCCAAAAACAACTTAAGATGGATTACCTTGGGAATAAGATCTTTCTTATCCTTTATACACTCTTGCAACGACAACAACAAATACAGGAATGGTGAGAACCTACAGCAACTGAGATTTTAACAAATGTTATGAAGATTGGCAAAAGGGGCAGTGTCGGAAGTAAAACGGAAGCAAATGGCAGAAGCAGAAGCAGGGCAAGAAAAGCAAAACGAGAACGAGAAAGAGAAGAAAATGAGAAGAACGACAGTTCACACCAAAAAAAAGTAAACGCAATAACAAAATTAGAAATGGGAAGGAATGAACATTGCTTTTTAGGACAGAGTATTTGAAGGTCGCGAGAAAAACTTACAGCCACATCTCGACAAAGTTTATGAGGATCAGCATCTGGATCATNAAACAAAAATTTTAATTATTGTCACAATTTTCGATGCGATTTTGTCTCCGGCGACTGTTCGGACAAGAATTTAGGGTAATCAGATAACTCTTCTAGGGTAACACTGTACTGATGCGCTTTTAGGATATCCTCGTGCTGTCATTACATCATTGGGCATTGGCAACACAGGATGATTCTGGAACTAGGATCATCTTCAGGGAAGCCTAGCAGTGTATAAGGAATATTTACCAAACTTATGGTCAAGATGGCTGGATATTAGGCCAGGTCTTTTTGGCGTGTGTCTTTGAAAAGTTCCGAATGTCAATTGAACATATTCAGCATCAGTTCCATTTCGAGAGACTGACGTGGTGAGAGAGTGGAAAAAATAACAAATCAGAGGCAAAAAATGACCTTGACCCAAACCAAAAAAGAGAAACTCGGGCCACAATGCATGTAAACCTAACTAATTCAGGCTAGGGACCGAATCACAGTCTTTTTGTAGGGCTACTATCGCCGAAGGGCCCTAGCTTTAGGATTATTTACTATGAACGGCTAAGTTGTGTAATAGAAATAAAAATAACAACGAAATATTTTTACTTGGTTTTGTAGACCAGCTCTATCTGTCCCTCTTGGCTTATTTCACAGCTGATGTCTCTTTGCAGACCAACCTCAAAGTACTCACGTGGTTTTTCAATTTCGGCGTATTTGCAAATCTGAGATTTAGAGATCTATCACTGTGTTTTTAATTATACAATGGGAAGTACACGTACACCTAATAGAATGAAGAATTTAATGCACTTTTACCCAGAACCGCTAAAATTAAAAGGATTTCAATAACAAAAATCACTTGAACAAAAGCATCAATACATTGGCCAATTTGTTCTCAAGCAAAGCTAGCTATGTTGAGATATTAGCAAGAGCAAGAGGGTTAATCGCACATACAGACCTCATTCTCAAGGTAACCCCGCTCAAGGTTTCTTTTATATATGATATCCAGCTGTCCGTGGTTAATGTTCCCAGGCGCGTTGGGTAGATGTTTACTTGAGGGATAAAAATGCGTATCAGGCGGTTTGGGCTGTTCGAGATTTCTGAAGTCTGAAGTGACCCAAAAACAACTTAAGATGGATTACCTTGGGAATAAGATCTTTCTTATCCTTTATACACTCTTGCAACGACAACAACAAATACAGGAATGGTGAGAACCTACAGCAACTGAGATTTTAACAAATGTTATGAAGATTGGCAAAAGGGGCAGTGTCGGAAGTAAAACGGAAGCAAATGGCAGAAGCAGAAGCAGGGCAAGAAAAGCAAAACGAGAACGAGAAAGAGAAGAAAATGAGAAGAACGACAGTTCACACCAAAAAAAAGTAAACGCAATAACAAAATTAGAAATGGGAAGGAATGAACATTGCTTTTTAGGACAGAGTATTTGAAGGTCGCGAGAAAAACTTACAGCCACATCTCGACAAAGTTTATGAGGATCAGCATCTGGATCATTTTGTCCTACGTCGACTGGCGTGCAAGGGTTGTAAGCGTACCGCCAACCAGGGTATTGCTTGCCAGATACAATAAATCTGTTATTGAAAATTAAGTCAAATAATTTAATAAATAAATAAATAAATAAATAAATTTTATGAGGATAGGAGTCTGTATTATTTTGCCCCATGTTAACTGCGGTATACAATTGTTGTAAGCGTACCGCCAGCCAAGATATCTCTCGTCACCATACCACAAATCCGTTGTTGAAAATCAAATCAAATAAAACAGTTGGCGGTTAATATTAGTCAACTGCTGTCTCCAGAACAAATAATTGAATTTGTCTCCCTTTCCTGGAATTTACAAAATAGAGTAGAAACAAAATTTCGAATACATTTAGTGAAATTCCTCTTTTAAAACCAATTGCGTTTAACATTATGAACTCAACAAACACAAAAACATAAAATAATAGTAATAAACAAAACCGCACACTTGGCGGGTAATCAAGGAACGAAAGTGAGAATCTATTAATTTTACTGTGAATAATATTAAAATGACATCATAAAAGATACAATTACCATTTATTAATATCCAGGTTACATTTGCTGGTTTCATTTTCACCAACCAAAAAAAAAATAAAAAAAATAAAAAAAATAAGAATAACTCTCAGATACACTACAACTGATTACAGCTTGATAAACCAAACAAAGGTTCAAGCGAGATTTGCAGGACCACTAATATAGGTAATCATTGTTAGTTTTAGTCTTGCTCCCGATGGGATCTGATAGGAAGGAACATCATATGTAATATGATTGATTGGAGCTCACCGCACTCATTATAAGATCTAGAGTAGTTGTTTAAATTAATCTCAAG